ACCGTAATTTGTTGTGTGAGCTGTTTTCGATGAGCAAGCTCGATCTGAAAAACGATATCAAAAATATGACCCGATTTTTCTGAAAACTGAGCCAAGAACTGAGCAATATGTCCAATTAGGGATTGAATAAAAATGAAAAAATAGGTCAAATTAACTTTGCGAGTCAAGTTTCTTTCCATTTTTTCCCCATTTCCAACAACTTTTCAGTCACTTTCCACTTGAGACAAAGCCTTGAATAGAGCCAAAAAACTTAAGTTGTCTAGGTGATTGCTCTGCAAAAACTTTGAAAAAAAACTTTAGGAAAAAAATTTCTCTTTCTTTTTTCTCTCTCAAAAAAAGACAGAAGTTTTTGACTTATTTCGACTTGTTTCCCACGATTCTTCTCTTGTTTTCTCTTCCATCTGATGCCGTTTTTTCCTTTGTTCTTGTTGCAGAAAACCCAAAAAATAACTTTTTTCTAGGTTTTTGCAACATTTTTATATCCAGCCTAAACATTGAAGGATTACTGTAGACATGGCTTTCTATCAATAGAGCGCATTTGCAATTGATGAAGAACATTTCGGTAGAGCACACTTACTCAGAAAAAGTCTTGTGGTCGCGCTCTACCGCAAACTCTAGTGTTTTGAAATTATCAAGTAAGATAATTTCAAAATTAGCGGGAGTGCGATAGAGCGCATCTGCAGGCCTCAATTGAAAAAAAATCAGTGGAGCGCGGTTACGGTAACCGAGAAATCGATTTTTCGAATTTTGGAATTTTCGGATTTTTCAGAATTTAGGTAATTTTCTGATTTTTGGAGCTTCAGAAATTGTGGAATTTCATAGTTCAGAGTTTTTAGAATTTGTGCTGAAAAATACTTTTTTCGACTAGAACAAAAAAAGAAAAAGCAAAAAAATCAAAAAACAAAAAAAATTAAAGTCGCATAGATTCTCGAAATAAACCGACTTACTGTAGTCATACACTAGAGCGCGTTTGTCACATGTGGCACCTTTTGCATTATGCCAGCCGCGCTCCATTGATAAAGTAATAAAACTAGGAGGTTCTCTCACTCCACGACCCACTTGAGTCGTCATATCTCTTTCTCGGAAAAGCAGGAAACGGATAGAAAACGTCTTTATTTCTTTTATATGTTCTTCCTCTTCTTCTTTTATTCTTTCTTCATTTTGCTATGTGCATAGGCTTGTTTTTTGTTGTTATTTTGTCTTTTCTTGTTCCTTTTTTCTACTCTTTTGAATGTAATTTCGTGTGCTGGGAACCCATTAGACAACAATTCGTTGCTTCTTTACTAATTTTCGATTCGTGTTTTTGGAATCAAAAATAGTTTTGGGGGCTTCTCTGTGTGTTCGAACATCGAAAAAATGAGGAAAAAGAAAAATAAATCAAATCAAACACTCTTTGTGAGTCTTCTTCCTTTTTTATTTGTGTGTTTTCCTCTTCTTCTTCCCCCCCCTGAAAAAGTATTTCAATTCAAAAATTAAATACTCCCTCTAATTTATGCCCAAGCAAGCGCGCTCCATTACACTCCAATTACGGCGCCAGATTCGAATCTAGTTTTTTTCCCCTCATGTTATTTACCTAATTTCTGCACCGATTTTTATCAATTTATCATCAAATAAACTGAAAGAATTCTCGCACTTTTTGCAGAAACGAAACTCTCTTATCGCTGAAGAGAAAAAAAGTAATATAAGAAAGAGGGTTTTTCTTCAGGAACGGCACAATGGAATGGTGAGATGAGTGCGAAATGTGGATCAACTACGCGCGAACATTTATATATAACCATTCGGTACTTCATGTACTGCTTCTTGTTCTTCTGCACACAGCATTGGTTGGCGGCGGGAAGCCTGGAAGGCAGCAGTTCGAAGAGGTGAGTTTTTCTCAAAAATGGCCGACTTCCTCTTAAAATTTACTATTTTTCTATTAAAAATTAAAATTTTTGATCACTTTCAACCGAAAATTAAATTTTTTCAGCCAAAAAAAATATTACTTTCAGCTTCAAAAAGATATTTTTTCACTGAAAATCTGAAATTTTTCAGATTCAATTTAGGCATTTTCAGGCTGAAAATCATGCGATAGATGTGAGCTGCCGTGAAAAATCTTTAAAAAGCTAGTATTTTGACAAAAATTGTTTTTTTAATTTCTACAAAAAATAAGCTGAACATCTTTTGAAGAACTAAAATTTTGACACAAGAAATCTGAAATTGAGACGAGAAAAGCTGAAATTTCCATGAAAAAAATCTAAATTTTGACAAAAATTTAGATTTTTTTTTTTTAGATTTTTTTTTTTTAAATTTAGATTTAAAAAAAAACAGAAATTTCGATGAAAGAAAAATATGAAAATTCTAAAAAAAAAGATAAAATTTCGATGAAAAAATGTGAAATTTGAAAAAAAAAGCAAAAAAATTTGACAAGAAAACTTGAAAAAAGTCTAAAATTGTGATGAAAAAATCTGAAATTTCTATAAAAAGTCTGAAATTTTGAAGAAAAAAAAATCTGAAAATTCTGAAAAAAAGCTGAAAAATCTTTGAAAACTCTGCAATTTTGATGAATTTCGCCGAAAAATTCTGAAAATCGGGAAAAAAAACTGAAAATTTTGAAAAAAACTGAGATTTCGATAAAAATACCAAATTTTTTTACAACAAAAACATCTGAAAATTCTTAAAAAGAAGCGAAAATCTCAATGAAAAATCTGCAATTTTGACGGTAAAAATCTAAAATTTGAAAAAAAGATCTGAAATTTCGATGAAAAGTCTGAAATTTTGATGAAAAATATCTGAAAATCACGAGAAAAAATTTGAAAAATCTGAAAAAAAGCTGAAAAATCTTTGAAAACTCTGCAATTTTGATGAATGAAATTTCGCCGAAAAATTCTGAAAATCGGAAAAAAAACTGAAAATTCTGAAAAAAAAAATAAAAATTCGAACAAAATAATCTGAAAATTCAAAATCAATAATTTTCCAGATCTCCGCAGAACACCCAATCCATCTGGTCATTCCACTTCCCGAAGATGACAGCTTCAGTTTCGGAAAGAATCCATTCTATTTCTCGTCTCACAAAGTGAAACCACTGGCAGATTTGGCATTGGAACGGGTTTATAATGAGAGTATCCTACCGAATAACTCAATCAATTTGATCTACCGAGACTCGAAACTCTCCGATGCAATTGGTCCAAACGTAGCAGTTGAGCAATTGCTTCTGAAAGAAATCGATTGTATCATCGGATATGCCTATGGATATGCACTTGCTCCCGTCGCCAGAATGTCGCCGTACTGGAAGAATGGTATTCCGATTATCACTCCGATTGGGCTCACAATGAGTTTGGATGATAAGAAGGAATATCAGCTAATGACAAGAATCAATAGCCCGTACAAGGTGAGATTCGGGGAGACTTGAATTTTTAATTTATTAAAAATTTGCTCAATTTTGGATTTTTTTTCTGTCTGACATGAGATAAAATTCACCGATTTTCAGCTTCAAATTAGAAAATTTTGAACTTTAATTTTTCAATTTTTAGCTAGATTTTTTAAAGGAACAATCAGGATCGGACACACAGACACAGCAAAAACATCAATTTCAACAGAAACATTCAAATTCCCGCCAAAATTTTGATTTCCAGGTCGTCGCCAGCGCTGTCGGTGAGCTGTTCAAGAATTATCAATGGAAGCGGCACATATTCATGTTCCATCATGCGAAAAGTCCATCGGTAGCTGTCGGAGAATGTTTTCTCCTGATGGCCAGTCTACAACATCCACTGAGAAAGGTTCGGCATTGGAAATTTGGGTTTTTCAAGCTAAAAATTTTAGCAGGTGAAAAAATCTAGGTTATTTTTAAAATTATTTGGAATTTAGCGAAATTCCTGAATTTTTCAAAAGATTGATTCTTTCAACATTTCTCGGATTTTTGAAAAATTTGAAAACTTTAGCCCGGGCCGGGCCTTGAAAAATTTTGAAGGCCCGGATGGGTATTTTTTGATCAAAATTTATCAAAAAATTTCTGTTATTTTGCTTTGAAAATGCAATTTTCCATCCGATCTCACCTCCGGGAAAATTTAAGAAAAAATTACTTTCCAAAATTTTGTTTAAAGGGGGGAGTTGAACTTGTGAGGGCGATGATTGAGGGTGCGGCGCCGCTACCGACTGAGCCACGCGGGCAAAGAGAAAGCGCACGCCCGATTGCATACATAAAGACGAGGACGACAGCTGTACGCAGAGTGACATTAAAGGAGGCGAGACAGCAAAAATTTCGGGGGACGAAATCGCCCCGCGCTTATGTAGACCATCGGTCGTCAGGCGCATTCGCGCCCCAGTAGCTCAGCCGGTAGCGGCGCTGGTACCCCTGAGCTGCCTGTCATGGGTTCAACCCCTCATGGGGGTTCTCTATGCAAAATATCAGGAAAACTTTTTTTTTTGGTGTCTGGCCTCCTTTAAGCGTTGTACACCGTGACGGTAGAATGCATACTCTAGCTACAAAAAAACTACGAAAAATCTCCTGTCCCCCCACCTTTAACCATTTACAAATTCAATATTTACAATTTAGCTTAAAATTAGATCATAAAAACAACTTTTTTCCAAAAAAAAACAATATTTTTTGCCTAAAAATCGAAGCTGGCGCCAACTGACCGTGCCATGACAAATTTTTCCAAGGCCCGGCCCGGCCCGGCCCGTCGCAACTATGGAGTTTTCGAATTTTTCAACATTTCGGAATTTTTTTGAATTTTTCAAAATTCCTGAACATTACACATTTTCCTTTGCTTTCTTCGAATTTTCAAAAATTTGTATATTTTTTGAATTTTTCGAAATTTCTGATATTTTTCTCATTTTCTGAACTTTTTGAATTTTTATCGAATTTAGCGATATTTCTGAATTTTAGTTTTTTACGATTTTCTCAAAAATTTCAAAATCTTCAAAAGTTATATATTTTTCTGATTTTTTTTCTAATTTTTTGAATTTTCGCTTTTTTTTGAATTTTTCCGAATTTTCTATTTTTTGTTTTTCAGATAATCGAAATGCAGCACAACTTCTTCACATTCAACGAGGAGTCCAGTGCAAATTTGACACGAGCCGAACGTCATCAGCAGTTTGTACAGTATTTGCAAGCGAGTAGCTACATGGCAAACGGTTAGTTCTTTTAGGCCAAAAATAATTTTGGCAACTTTTGTTCCCCTGCAAAATAGAACTAAGTGCTTCTGCTCCTCCTTCTTTGGGGGGACAACAATAGAAAAAAGGGTAAAAAGATGAGGACACAATGGACGCGACCGACACAAAGCTCTGGTCAATAATTCAAGAAGATGATGGAGGAGGCGTCGTCGTTTCCAGAAGACGTTGAAGATGATGATGATGATGGACGCACAAAGCGGCGCTGCTTGATTACGTCTTAATAGACATGCAATATATTTCGGATGGGACCATTTGGTTGGTGTTGCAGAAAAGAGAGAGAATGCCTCTATTTCTCTGCTCCCTCCTCTCTCTATTTTCTTTTTTCTCCTCCTATACTTGCAGGTCCAGTCTCTACAACTGGTTTTGAAATTGTACGATTGACACACACACACACAGACAGTTTAGTGAACTTTACCCGATTCCTTTTTTCACACTTCCTGTGTCTCCTCCCCTGACACACTCTCTAATGCCACTTGAATAAAAATTTCTGAGTTTTTTTTCTGCCTCGCCGTTTGAATTATTTTTATTAGAATCCGATTTTTTTGTCTCTTGTCGTCGCTAAACTGAACTTTGGTTGTGACATTCAATCTATTTTTCTCTCCGATAGAATTTTGTTGCTATTGACTTCCAGAATATTCTGTTTGAAATTTTAGATTGAAGAATTCATAATTTTTGGTGTTAAAGGACCTAAAAATCAGAATTTTCGACTCGAAAAATTTCAAAAATTGTGAAGGTTTAGATCGATAATTTCATATTTTCAGTGCTAGAAATCCGTAATTGGGACCCAAATTTTGAAATTTCGTCTTTAAAATTCCCTTTTTTTTGCAAAAAATTAATAATTTTCGACCTAAAATTTACATTGAACAATTCAAGTTTTCAATATGAAAAGTCGAAATTTTACATTAAAACATTCGTATTTTTGAAGCGAAAAATGCCACAGAGCCTTCGCTAGAGCGCAACTTGTCTTGCCACTTGGACTTTCACCGTATGACCGGTTTTTTTTTCTGATTCCGGAAATCTTAAATTTTGAAATTTCGAGAACGGTTATTTTCTGCAAAAATCGCTGGAAAATCAAGAAAATTCAAAATTGACCCAATTTGTTCCGTCGCCAGATCGCAACTTGTTTTGCCTGATTTTCAGTATGACCTAATTTTTCTGCTCCCCCGGAGAATTTCGCGAAATCCCTGATTCCTTACATTCGGAAAATTCTTAATTTTGAAAATTTCGAATTCTGAGAATTTCCATTTTTTCAAATATCGAATTTTGATTAAAAAATGTATTTTTTTTCAATTTTTTCAAAAGTCTAAAAAAATTCTAGCGATTTTTCAGCTTAGCTAGTTGTTTAAATTAATTCCGTTGTTTTTTTAGCGAGCCGGAAGACCGAGAGACCCTGCTAAGCAAAAAAAACATCCTATGATATTTTTTTGCGGCTTTGCTGCTGTCCTCTACTCCTCCGTAAACATTTTTGTTTCCATCGATTTTTTAGATTTCTGTTCCCATCATCCTATTGAGAGCAGGTGAACTTTCTCAATTAATTTTTTTTCCCGAATTTTCACATGCTCGAGAAGAAAATTTCTCTTCTAGCTTTACGTTTCCCACACAGCTTCATATTCGTATTTTCAGACTGAAAATTTTTCCAGCCGCGCACAGAAAAGTGGCCAAATTCTCAGTTTTCAGTGGCAAATTTAGGCGTGGAAGAGCACAAAGATCCTTCTCTTCCATAGTTATTTAGTTCAACTTTTTTTCTTCACTTCTATCGACACAATTTCTTTCACGCGACGACGAAATTCGAACTCTATTTACTCACACGCTTAGAAAATTGTGCGGGCTCTCCGGTTGGCTCCCTATCCTCCTGCAGAAAAATGAGGAGGAGCCGAGGGCTCTCGTCACCTCTCGTGACCTTTTTATATTTATATTTATTGGTAGTGTGGTAGTGATGATGATATGCGCCACGTGGATGGTATCAAAAATTGGGTCTGCAGGAAAACTATTTGTTTATTCTGAGAGCTTTAAGAGAAAGCTTCGTTTTTGTTTGTTTTTTTTCGACTTCCGAATCGAAGTTTCAGCCATTTTTGCTCGATTTACGAGGCTCCGCCCCTCGAAAAATTCCGATCGATTTTGCTTACTTTACTTCAAAAACCCGGAAAATTATGTAGAAAAATAGCCTTGGCGTAGAACTGTATATTCGCTTGATCTACTATTCTGGTCCAATAGATCAAAAGTAGAATTGGCGGGACAAAAATTAGATGAGGGAAATTGTCCCAAATTGGAATTTTAGAGTTCCTTTTTTTTTGACTCCAGAGGCTCCGCCCCTTTTTTTGATTTTTTTCTGTGGTGTCGATTCACATGGCTCCGCCTCTTTTTTAGATTTTGAAATTATTGATTTTCGAGACTCCGCCCCCTTTTTCAATATCGAAATTTTCTATTTGCATTTTGAGGGGG